TAACTGACTTCTGAATCCAGTATTCTCATTTCGCTGCCAGTAGTTTGTTGAAAAGCTGAAGGCAAAAACTGGTTTTAAGAATACTGATATTATTACCGCAGTTACTGTGGCCAATATTAAATTGTGGAGTGCTGATTGCTTTTATCTGCTGAGTGCACAAATGCTGGGTGAGACTACCACTCGACCCATATGTGTAAGGGCTACCGAGCACGGACACTCAGGAAAACGATATGAAATTAAATAAAAACCACGTATGCCGGCGTATCGAAGGGCACCCATGCGCTTTTGATAGGGAAACATAACTCGACCTCGTGCTAAGCAACTACGATTCTAGTGAAGACTGACAGTTTGAATTGCTGGTCACCTTAAACAAAACGTCCGTAGAACCGTAATAAAGCAAATTCGATGTGCATGGCGTATTTCCGGATGAACAACCAGAAACAGGATTGTTTATAAGAAATCTTAGCGCGCTTGACGCATCCACGAATACACTAGGGTTCACTTCTTGATGGATTCCCAAGGGAATACCAACAGTTCTGGCCGCAGATCGATGGTTCATCATGGAGTTTGTTAAAATGAGTTTCAAAGCCACATAAACCATGGAAGGCAGGGCTATCGCATTATTTTAGGTCATGTCAGAGAAACGACGGAATCAGCAAAGAAAGCAGCCGGTCTAAATTCTGGCCCCCCGCGGCTTTGATGAGGCTGATGGGAGGTTGGGTACGTCTGCTCGATATGAGCGGCCCCATGTGAACTTGATGCGGTTTATGGGTTGCTCCGGAAATTAGTCAGAATCGGTCGGCAATCCTCTCCACAACTTAACAAAGGATGAATAAATGGTCAATATTTCGAAAGCCTTTGGGGAGATTTTTGCCTGCAACCGAAATGGACATGCGTCCATCAGGGCTACGGGGGCATCTGACTTCTGGTTCCGGTGAACAAATGGGTTGTATCAAAACACAACGTACATAACAACAAGTACAGTAAACATGGGTGTCAGAACATGCCCCAGGCTCGAAGACCCGAATGATTAGTACCCGCATCCGGGTTCATATTCGTGCGGCAGCTGGAAGGGCATGAATTTCTCGGTCAGACCTCTTATGGTAATGTACATAGGGTAGGAATTACACGCATGTTCGAAGACGAAAGCACAGGTGATCGCCAGCTTGACACCGATAGCAGTCTCAACGGGGCAGCGAGTAAAGTTGATCGAATATCATGAAAATCGCAAGCAAGAGCCACTGATCGTGAAAAAAAGCCGGGCAGCAAAGTAGATAGACAATCCTGATCTGTAATGGGTAATCTGTCGAAAACAGAAGTTTTCGCATCACCATGACTTGGGCGGCTGCTAGGCAACTGGTCGCTGAACCCAAGTGTGTGAGGTATAGCGATGGGCTGTTTCAATACAGGGCCTGAACGAGACCTGAGTTGTAACTGAGCGACTGAGCTAACTGAGTTGCGCAAGGTAAAAATTATTAAGGTTGAGATGGGTCCTCCGGATAAGAAAAATGACAGAACGCAAACAAATTTTGTCGTTATCACCAAGCCATTTCCAGTATGCGCATGCTAGGGAGCGTGTTTCACCTGGGTAGAATAAAAGTAAACCTGCGATGTTCCCGGAGAGTGGTAAATTTATGTGGGTCGACGGATCAAGACGCAAACCAAATGTGAAGGCGAGTTACGTTCCGAGGGTTTTATGATGCAAAATCCTGGGTACAGGGCCTACAGTGATGAGGTGGCGGAGGGGAGTGAAGGTATATCGAAAAGTTTGTACGCTATAGGTGCTGTATGCTACCCAGAATGATGTCCATGTGCCCTGACTGCGCTAGACTGGGAGCACTGAGCACCATGGTAGCCAATCGGCTGCAGTAGCGTTCGTGTTGTCAATTCCTATACAGCTTGTCCGACCGAGTGACGTGGCCTGGGCACCTCAGATGTCTGCCATAGGCTGGGCTTGGATGCTCCCCCTGCCTCGGTTCTTTTGTCTTTGCTGCATAAGCCCTTATTCAGATAAATCGGTATGGTTGTGAGGCAACGAAGCATTAGTATTCTCCTCTGTTGTTGCTGTCACTGCCGGTAGTAAGCGGGAGGGAGGGGCGTTGAAGATTATTGTGGTGAGGATATGGGAAGTCCAACAGCTGGTTGAGGGCACAGTGCTTTCCTGACCGACTTCTGGACGTTTTTCTGAAGCCTATGGAAAGACCGTCGATCTGAAGCTGCTGGAACGGACTCGCAGTTTTTGGCTGGGATTTGTCTTACTTTAGGCTGAACTTTCAAGTCTTCAGCGAGGGCCGAACCGCGCGGAGCCAAGCGGAATTCTTCCGAGAAAACAGAGGATATGTGAACGGTCTTCTGTCCACATTCACCCCCCCTGCCGACGCAGGTTGGGCCAGTTAACCATGGAGGAGTGAAGGTTGTTGTAGCCATCCGACTCGATGAATACAGGGCCTTGCTGACCTGACCTATTTGGTCTAGTGTCTATTCCCTCCGTTACATATGGGGTGCTCACTCAATCGTTTCCAAAATCAAATCCACCGGAGCAGGGTGGAAAGGAATATGGTGCGGTGAGTGGAAACTTAAGAATGAAGGTGCATTATAGAATATAGTTCCCGGGATGTGCGAAAACCACAGGGGTCGTACAGCCACGATGTTTTTTCCTACGAAATGAACGGGAGCGGATACAAAGCCTAAGCATTGAGTTGGAGGGAATGGGGGCAGGTGCATGGGGGTCGAGAGGGATGGGTCAAACAGTGATACGAAAAAGCCTTGGTTAAATCCAATAAGGATATCGGATATATTAAAGCGTTAGCTTTACGCACTCCGTGTTTAAACAAAATTCAGTGAAACTTTAGTCATGCAACTCCCGTAAGCTGCAAGCGACCTCGACCAAAATCCATTCAATTTTGATTGGTTGATGTTCAGACCTATCATAGCATAGCCCGCGGGCACCCTCACACCACTCCAGCTGACGTAGGCCACGGTTTCTCGGGTCGCCCACACTTCGGCGAGTTCTTTCTGAGTGTGTTATCCGTCGGATCGTGGCGTGGATTATACCTGTGACTACGTAGTCACCGTACGGTGGACTTTGTTGGTGTTGCACTCGTTGAAGATGTATTGAGAAACAAGTCCTACGAAATATGGCATTTTATGGTATTTAGAGGATTCTGTCGCCAAAAAGCGCCAGTGACTCTTACGAATTGCATACGGTGACCGCGGCTTCCAGGGCGGCCGCTGGGTCTTGAGACCACTGATAACCCACATCTCATCGTTAGGAAACACTGGGGCACCATTTCATCACCTATGAAATTTTATACCTCGAATCCGATATATTCAACGAATATCAGACGATCCGCCGATCGCCGGACACACTTGATGCAGTCCACATCAGGTATATGCGATGCCACGTAGAGACATGGTGATTTAGTGTGGAGTGCAACTGTGACCCATATCGCTCGTTCCTGCATTTTTCTTGGGCTGTCCTTGGACAAGACGTTGACGATCTCGTCGCGATGTCCATCTAGAAGGATGATGTCTCTTTAGAGAAAAGTCACTGATACTTCCTATCATCCATCTTGTACAGCTTTCAGTTGCAGATTCAAAATTATGCAATTACCAGTAGAACTAGTGTATTCAGTACAGTTCAGGTAACTAGTCGAGGCCAGTTTCTCACACCCAACATCAGATTGGCATCTTAAAGGGTGTGTACTACCCATGGCCTGGGGACGTGCTCGGAAAGGAGCAGTCGGCCGTAACTCACCTCCCCTGAAACTGCTTATTCGTTGTTGGCCTCCCAGAACCCACAACTCCACAAGACCAACCTATGATGTAGGATTGGGCTTGAGACAACTCAGTGATTAAGACGTCAGCTTACGGGCCAGAAGGTCTGCGGTTCAGACCCAACTTCGGCATCCCGACTGCTCCTGTTTATACTTGAGCGACCTGGCAGTATCCCAACCCTCGTGCTTGCTTCTGGCAGCCAGGCACCGAAAGGGTGCTACCACTGACAGAGTACGTTGTATTTTTGTGCTAGCTTGGTAATTTAGGAGGTTCGTAAAACTTGTTTTTACCGCGTTATATGGTCTTGGCACTGGTGTGGGAAAACCTCGGGGGAGAAGGCAAAGGACACCGGATGAACCAACTGGAGGCGGCTCAGTTG